GTTGTTGTTGTTGTTGTTGTTGTTGTTGTTGTTGTTGTTGTTGTTGTTGTTGTTGTTGTTGTTGTTGTTGTTGTTCGTGTTCTTGTTCTTGTTCTTGTTCTTGTTCTTGTTCTTGTTCTTGTTCTTGTTCTTGTTCTTGTTGGTTGTTCGTTGTTCGTTGTTCGTTGTTCGTTGTTGGTTGTTGGTTGTTGGTTGTTGGTTGTTGGTTGTTTGTTGTTGTTGCTGTTGCTGTTGTTGTAGTTGTTGTTGTGGTCGTCGTCATCGTCGTCGTCGTGGTCGTTGTTGTTGTCGTTGTCGTTGTCGTTGTCGTTGTCGTTGTGGTTGTTGTGGTTGTGGTTGTGGTTGTGGTTGTTGTGGTTGTGGTTGTGGCTGTTTTGGCGAGGTAGCCCGCCATCGTTTGTCAGCGGCCAAAGCAATTCCCTTGCAAGGGGTGAAGTATTCATGCGGATTGCCATCGCACTCTCAGAAAGGTCGTTGCCACTGTCATGTTTTTGTTTTATTATTTTTTCCCTTTTAAGAGCACCCGAGGTACGGGGTGCTCAGATATTTAGATGAAATCTGGTAGGCCCACAGAATGATTGATTGTCCTACCGTTGACTTGTTTCGTTTCGCAACAGGCAAACAAAAAGATTGTCACAATGGATGCGAGGCCTCGTTGCTGCCTTGTTGAGGCGCTGACATACTGATGCGTTCTGCTTTTTCTAGCGAGCTCACCTGGAGGCAAATCAGGATCATCAGAAAAAAGAAGAAGAAAAAAACACTCCCATCATGTTCAAAACATATTCTGCAACACTGGAGTATGTGACAGATGCCCCAAAACAAAGTTCAGCTCGAGTGGCCGAGGTCAGCGCGCCAGTGCCGACGATCAAGGCAGGCAACTCCTTGCTTTTGGACGCATTGGTCCTGCTGGAAGCCTTTTCGAGGAGGGATTTCACTACCCGCAAAGCACCCCCCGCCAAAAAAAAGAAAGGAGTTTAGAACCTTTGTATGGGGGCTAGTTGTCAGCGCACCGATCTGGGACCACAAGCGAAACTCGTGTCAGGTCCTTCATTAGGAGTCCGTTTCTTTCTGATTCTGGATCTGTAGAATTGGCAGAGACCAGTTCGGCCAATGTCAGCACCAATCAGGGACGTGGGAGCTGAGATGTGGGTATCCCTTTGCTCCTCAATTCTGAGTTGCCATTGCCCCTGCTTTATTGGATGCCAGCTCCCCCTAATCCCTGCTCCCGCATCCAGCTCATTTTCACCAATAACTCTTTTTCTTGAACTTCACGTACCCCTAGCACCCAAGACCTTGTTTGGGGAATTTGACTCGCACTTGCGGTTGATTCGTGGCTTTTTGGTGTTGGTGCTGAAGCTGCAGTTTGCCCTGGCCATGGTCATGTCCATCCATTTTCCCTAGCCATTTGTGGGGTCGACTCCCTTGACCTAGGCTTCCACCTAGAATCCTTGGCCAAGCAGCTGCACCATGCCGAGAGGGCCGGGAACCAAATGCCGCAAGAGCGCTTGAGACAAGAGACAAGGTGACACCCCAGGTGCTGCACCCGTTGAGTGGGAAGAACCTAGGAAAAACACAAAATCTAATCATTTCAGTTGCTCGGCGGCCTGGGCTCAGCTCCCTAGATCAAGCAGTTCATTTTCAACAAAGGGGGTGTCAAAAGGTGAACGGTGAGTTGCCCTGCGATCTCTTGTGTCGCTTGCCGTTGCGAGCATGGGGCAGGAACGCTCGCTCAATGGCGCTTCCGAAGGTTCGGAAGTTGTCCTGAAGCAGAATGTTGTGCCCAATATATGGGCACCTCAAACACTCCAAACTTTGCTTACCGAAGGTGATTGCAATTGTGCCACCAACAAGCATGGAAACTGACTGAACGACTCATACAAAAGACACGTTGTCACCCCCCCCCCCCCAAAGCTCTTTTGTTGGTAGAAGGTTGTCGGCTTAAGCGGAAACCAAGATCACTAAACCTAGGTAGCCCAGCATAGAACCAGGTTGCCCAGAGGATGTCACTTTAGCCTGTCAATCAGTGTGCCAGACCAATGTCTTATACTGTAGTCCCCAAGGAACTTACAACCATGGCTTTGGTGGGTTCGCTTTCACGGCCTCATAGGCCTTGCTGCGGCCCCACAAGACCAAGCCAGCCTGGGCGCCCAGCTGAACCGATTAGCGACCATGTGGAGGGTTCTTCCTAGAAGAGCTGATCGCTTTCCCGCTTTACTCGGTGTACTCCTCATCTTCGCCCCTCCATCGGATTACAACAACTGTAAGGTTCCCAATTCAGGGAGCTTAAGTCTCTTGGTTGGTTGGATGTTGCGGGTTGATCGCTTTCTAGGTCCCTTGAAGTGACTAAAAATTCAGGGAAGCCAAAATTTGAGGGTACATCTTGAAAGGTTTCCGCAGCCCGGCCCTTGGCCTGCTTGGTCGGCGGGGTTCAAAAACCGCAACTGGCCCCGACACTTGCAGATTCGCATATCGTATGCATAGCTCACATTGCAAGTTTGCACCGCAGGGGCGGCACGCAGATCAACAGCGTGAAGTTCAGGAGGGAAATCCAGAAATCCAAGCGTCAAATTTGGGTCTGCTTTGGCACATAATTTTCACGGACGGAATGTTCCATGCACATAGGATGGATTACGCCCTAAAAATTGTGGGATAAGCCACCCAACCAAGTGGTGCAAAGCGGATTTTGTCCATCATGAGTTCCAAGTTGGAAAGGGAAGTGTCGCGGAACTTGGCGGTTCATGAATCCAGTTGTTCAGCAGCTTCCGCCCTTTGTTTGGCTTGTTTTGTTTTTCTCCGCACCAAAAATGGAATCGAGCCACAGAGCGGCTCCACCGTGAGTGTAATACTGTGGGTGATTTGGTTGGATGATGTTCTTTTGATGGTGGCCCCCAGTGACATCAAGACCAGTTTGGACCCTTTCGCCACAATTGATTGACAGATAGTGGCTGAAGAATGACATGCGGACCTAGCTGTTCAAGGTTGTCCCACCCGTTTTCTCTTTCGTTTGATTGTGCATCAACAAATCAGTCCCTGAGTCGGCGTTCTCCAACTTTGGGTCTGGACAATGGTGGCAAACAACAAGTGTCTCTCGTTTTTCTTGCTGGTTCTCAGCAGGGAATCAGGGAACGACCCAAACGGCTCATTCGTTCATTCCCAACACCCGGATTCGGGTCGTTCCCTACGGCACCTGGCGTGCGACCATGCGACGGAGGTGATGCCGTTGCTCAGCTCCGCGGCGGCGCTGTGTTTGCTGGCCTCCGGCGGCGCCCGCCGGAGCCGGGCACGCCTGGAGGCGACCGAGGGATGAAGGGCGGGGGGGTTGGTTGGTGGCAGGAGCTGTTACCGGCATAAAGCGCAAAGACCAACAAGGCTTGGGGCATGTTGCGGTTGGGCGGAAAATAGGGGCAACCAGGAGCAAATCAAGCAAGAAGTTTGGTTGTTCAGACCAGTGGACCCAGGATCCTTTTGTACATGAAGCCAATGGATTTGGACCCTTGGATTCATTCTGTTGTTTAGGCGCAAGGCCCAGTCAGTTAGGCACTGAGGTCGCGCTGAAATGGGGGAGGCCAAGAGGCGCAGACAAGGGCTTGCGGACGCACCATGATGGCCCCCCGTTGAGCGTCAGTGGGGATCCATCTCATACTTTCAACTGATTGTCTCCAGACCTTCCGAGTTTGCTGGCTGAATGTCAGGGCTTCTGAGCCTGTGCCGGGAAGTCGTTTTGAAATTCTTGCAAGATGCACATGAAGTTCAATACCGGAGCATGGTTGAAAATTGGCTTGTACTCTTTATGGGTGGCCTTTCCTTTGAAGTTGACAAGGAAGTCAGAAACGAACTGGCATGCATGGTCCACCTCAAGCACAAGGTGGAGGAGGGTCTCGCTCTCCAAGTTCCTGTTCTTTCTACTTTTCGGAAAGACTTTTGGGCAGACCATTTTGCTGGTAAACAAAAAGCTCGGACTTTTTGTTGAGCAATCCAAGCAGGAAGAGTGAGACACCGCTTTTTTTTCGGCAAAACAGGTTTGTTAACTTTGTTGGTTGCCAATGGAAAGTATAACTAGGGGATGGATTGGCCCAGGAGCTGCAGAAGCGCGTGAAGAGCGTGAACCAGGAATTGGTGCATCTGTCTGGACCTCAGCATGCAAAAAGGCAAGAGCCTCCCCCTTACCCAAATACCGACTGGTTCTTGGTGCATTAATACGATGCCCTAAAACTCAGCAGGTGGTTGGAGGTGCAAAAGCCCCTGGAGGCTCACTGAAGATCTATCAAGCCTGGGGATTCCGAAAATGTCCAGTTCGCAATTACAGAATCTTTTGCCCAGATGAAAGCCCCTGGAGGAAAACCCACCGGCAAGACTCAGATTCAACACTCCAAGTCATGGTGGGAGATGTTCCAGTTTGAGGTTGAGCTTTCTGTGGGTGGCCAAGGAAGCCTCTTGAGAGTAATGCAGTAGTCATTGAGATGAGATTCAATCACTTTGGTATCCGACCAAGGAATTCACAACCACGAGCAATAATCTCTTCGACATGGTTGACTCAGCATGTCGCATGAAGCAGTCAGGAAGAGCAACAATGCTCAGCCCTACTGTTGGTTTCATGATTAGATGTCCTCGGTTTGTTTGTGAGCAGGAGAATCGTCTCCCATGAACCTCATTCAATTTCATGGTAACTTGGACAGCAAGGTAAAACCAAGCCACTCGGGTCATCTTCTGCCTTCAAATTAAGCAAATCGGGGTCGAGCACAGGGCCGCCGTGATGCGGCAGATGGCGCCACATTTGAAGAACATCTTCGTTGCTGGGAAGGCCCGTCTTTGGCGGATCGAGATAGAGAAGCTTTCGGAAGGCCTGAGGAGAGTTGTTCAGAAATCCCCACATAGTCTTTCTGGAGGTGTGAAACATCCACCTTGTGGCTTGTTATGCTTAAGAGAGTTCCTTTTGACCGGGCGATGTTTTGAGGTTGAACGTTTGATGTGATGGAGGTCTTGGTATGATTTTGAAGACAGGTGCTCTAAGCAGTTTGAGCCTCAAGATTTGGATGGGATGCGATAGCAGCGATAGCACAGCAAAATGCCGGAAGAATTCGACTCGCTCCAACCAGTGAGCTGGATCGCAACGGGGTCGGCCGACAGGCGGAGTGGGCGCAAAGCAGATTCGTTTGCTTTCCAGGATCTGTTAGTTCCAATGAATCAGAGTTTGCAGATTCGCTGGAAACTCGTACGAAGGTACAATGCAATGTATGTGCCCAAGCAGAGTGAAGGAACCTTACTCAGGGTGCCCCGATCAACTTTCTCTGGGGGATTGCTTTTTTTGTTTTTTTACGGTTTCCCACGACCTGGTCTTCATAGTTCAGATTACATCCATGCGATTTATGTTATTTGTATATTCCCTGTTGGGCTGCAATTGAATTGGTTACGACTGATAAGTTTTAATACTTTTGGATAGCAGCCCGACATTTTGTTTGTTCTGCCGAAAGGGGGCCTTTGGAAATGGTCGCTTTTTTGGCCTTGTTTCCCAGCCCGGCTCATGATCCCTTTGCCCTCCAACGGAGAACCAAAACCAATCGGGAGCCTTACGGTTGATGGACACACTCTTGCATCACCCAGCATGCACACAGAACAAATATTGGAATGCAGCACCTCCTAGTACTGTACCCACTGGTGCAGGATGTTTGTCCATCCACAGTAATTAGGGCGGTTAACAAAAGCATAGCCTTAGCTTTAACGCTCTTTCAGCCACTGCACTGTTGCGCAGGCCGAGCCTGCCGCTGCTTGACAAGCACATATTCAAGTCTACAGTTTAGAGTCCTCGACAATTGGAGGCGTGTATACTTATGTGATATGCATGTGGATGTGTCTCAGAAATCGGACACCAACCAGGTCACAAAGTTTCCCCTTGAGTTCTCAAACCATCCCAAAGATGAGACATAGCTTACATGGATATATTTGTGCACACAGCAAATGCATATTATATACATATATGTGCGAGGTGCCCCTGTTGAACCTGTGCCATGGCCAAGTTCACTGTGCGTTCAGTTTTCCATAACATATTCAACTACCTGGCGGGGTACCAGCACTCACATCCTGTCTCAAGTCTATCCACATTGGGCCCCCAAAGACATTCAGGTGTTTGACATTGTGAACGAGTTTCCTGCAGGTTCAAGGAGACGATAGGCATTGTTGGGAGTCTTTAATCTTGAGTCCAGGGTTAAGAGCACTTTTGAATCAACTTCAAAGTTTCTGCCTGAATTCGAAGGGTCTGCAACACTGCATGCTCATTGAATTTCAAGTCTAATCAAAGCATTTTCCAGAAAAACTGCCAACGGCAAACACTTACCAGCAGGTTTGCTTGCCAACAGGAACATCTAAAAAGGCAATATGCAGGAGCATGTCGTGGGTATTGTTTTCGCATGTGTGCGCAGACTTGATCTTGGCAATGTAGGCTGATATTTGTTGCCACCCTCGCTCAATAAGCCCTGTCCTCGTCTCAGCTGGGCTGGATTTCTCAGGTGAGTTCCACGGCTTGGGAGCTGCTCGGGGCAGCTTCCTATTTTCAGGCATTCTCCCCAGAAAGCCACCCAAAGCAGAAAAACGGCAGGTGTTGGAAAAGGACAGAGGTTGAATCGAATTGGGATGAAACCTTTAGCTACTCCATGCAATCCAATAATTTCCACAGACGCTGAAGTGTTTGTCACCCAGCTCATTTGGGCTAAGGATCAATGGATCGCGAAGATGCAGCAGCCCCAGCGCATCTTCCATTGAAAAGCCCGGCAATGGCAGACAGAGGCTTGTTTTACAAGAGGGAATGCCTTTTATATGACACTTGTGTTACCCCTTCAAAGGCCAACAAAGAGAACTGGCATCCAAAATTAGGCCGCTGTCTTTTTGAGCAACCTTCAGGTGTTTGCTATTGAGGAATACCTTTGCGATAGGCAACGGATAGCCCATGCACTGAGTCGCTGAAGCCGGCCAAATCGTTCGGCATGACACATGAAAGTTACCACTGGCATGCCAGCTTGCCGGCGCGCACAGAGTCGGTTCTCAAGATAACTTTGGGGTCCTGGTGGCTTTCCTTTCAGCCAACCCTCTAATTGTCAATTCTGAGAATTTCTCTTTAAACCGCCATTGAGCTCGGGGAATCTTAATGTTACTTTAACGAACCCTGTCCACTGCGACAAGGCTTGACCATCTCAATGGTAATGACGGCATCCTTCCTGGCCTGTGGGGCGTCTCCGAAGAAAGCGTCGAGGAGGGGTTGCCAGGTCAGTTGAGGGAGAATTAGGGACTGCGGCACACGGAGCAGGCCATGTGGTCAAAACTGAGAAGTGAAATATCTGCTTCTCATGCCGGTGACCCCGAACTAGGGATCTCTGGCTTCATTCCTAGAGCACTGACCTGATACTGAGAACCAGCAAGTTGTGTGCCTTGATGTGATTCACTCTTTGGCAGGGATGTTATTTTCCTTTGGCTTCAGCTGCGCCTCGCAGAGATCCCGAGGGAATTGATCAGAGCCTTACGTGCCCAGTTTCATCGAGATGACCATGAGGCTTTCAATCAAATACAGCAGAAACGAGCAGTCAATCCAATGGGTCAACTGAATCCCCTTGGATGGAATCGCCTCAGGGGCAGACTTCACAGCTTGCCCTGTCTCTCGGTTGGATTTCTATCCTTGATTCTTTGAACATTGTGGTGTTGCAAACATATGGGGGGACCTCCGTTTTGGGTGGTCTTTCAGGCCAACCAAAAGGAGACTACAATCAGAGCATCGTTGTGCTTTCTGAGCAAAAGAATCACGGGACCTTCCAAGACCTTACTTGAAGGACCAAGGTACGGCAGGTAAGTGCTGAATAGCCTGGGTTAGAACCGCGCTTGGGGGCTGTGATGTAACCATGGTTGCAAACCACTTACCTGACGACCCCTGCCTACTATACTATAATATAAACAGCGGAGCATTCCCCTTTGAGGCAGGCCATTTGTTCGTGGAAGCAAGAAGGCACTGTGATACTCTGAGCCAAGAAGTCGATTGGTTTGAGTTGGATGAACGTGGAGTCGCACGGCCCACAGCAGAATTGGGTGTTCTCACTTGTTTTCCCCTTTGTTCTGGACTAGAGATTCAAACAATGTGAGCCAACCCCGCATGGAACTTGTTGGGAAATTGTGGTTTCTGAAGAGAACTAGGGGGTATGGAACCATCCTCAGGGTGGGTTCCCCTTTCAGGTTCACCAGCAAAGTAGCCGGTGCAATCTTTGTAAAACCCCCCAAAAAAACATCTTGTGTCCAGGTCCTTCAGCAAGCAACACGATGAGAAACGCAAGCTAGCATGCTCGGCACAAGCTCATGTTTGCGCAAGGCCAAACAAACGGGATCCGCCCTTTGGGGCAGCCGGCCTTTGGAAGGCTTGGGACTTGCTGGAGACTTTCCAAATGCGTTGCCGAAGGCGGGCCTTCAGTCAGCAGGTGATTTTGGCCGAACGTGCGCCAGCAACTGGCTTGACAAGAAGTCTCAAGACAAAATTTATCAACATGTTGGGGAGGGTTCCTTTTGGTTTCCCTTTAAAACAGCCAACAAAACGCACCCTCAAGAAACATGCGCAATCGAGCAAATTGGAGCTTTCCCTGGCACCAGCCAGGCAAGTCTTGGCCAAGGTGCTGTTGCATGGCGATCTGATCGATTTGGCCTTCAACATCGCACCTCCATGTCGATGAAACGGATCAAAGACGATTGCCTCGGCCAAGACGTGCTACATACCCTGAGAGGCTGTAATTGGCTGGTCTGAACGGATTTCCCAGCCTCAATATTCATTTTGGGGCGTTGGAAAGCCCCATATTCGATCCGCAGCCAGGTTTGTGCAACACAGCAAAGCTTCAGACCAGAGCGCGTCCCAGCTGCGAGTGGGCCTGAGATCGGGATGCGCTTCAGGCTCCAACGGGTCGACGCTTAAAACAAGAATAAAATCCAGTTTGACCCCGAAAGGGAAGCCAAAGTCCCATTTGGCCATCCTGTTACCAGGCTTCGGGTTTCAGGTCCCCGCTGAGGTCTGCTCCTGTACTGGTTGTTCCAGGATTCCCGCGCTGCCCTCGATGGCAAGAGAGCCGAGGAGTCGCGAAAGTGTGGGGGAGGATTGGCTGGAAATCTCGGGGAAATCCCCCTGGTAGGATCCCTTGAGTTTCCCTGCACAAGCATGGGGTACCCTAAATTCAATCAAACCCACATCTCCGCAGTTCTTGCATACGTGTTGTAGTTCTTGTGTGTTTGTTGTTGTCCTTTATTCATTTTTGGGGGGCGGGGCTCAGACTGCAGTAGTTGCAGGGAGCTGCAGGAAACTGCACTTTGGCCAACATGTCGAACCAAGACTTGTAGTAACTAGTCCAGAACAGTTGTACCAAATGGGTACCAAAACACAGTTCTTTCTTTGGCACTCACTTGCTCAAAGCGAGTGATCTTAGCTGGCATTTTGGGTTTCAAGTTCTGTGCAGGTCTTTTGGTTGCGAATGAACTGGGTTTAATTGATCACCATCCACCAACTCGGCCAGGAGTCTTTACGTATCCCACCCTTTTTGCTAAGCCTCCAAGATCGTTGCCGGTATTCAGAGGGAGAACCACGTACGCTCATTGGTGTACCTATAGTTGTTCCGGGGTGAGATTCGGTCACCTTCACCTGCTGGCCCGCTTTTCCAAACGCAAGATGACACTTGAACCGGAGGAGGGGGGGGTTGCGCTCCTGAGATGGGTGCCGACCATGGGCAGTTCTCGGATGTGCTTGGCAACTCTAGCACTAGCTCTGCCGCACAAATTTGAACCATGTGGCGCAACGGTTGGTTTCCCTGAAACCGGTACCCTCAAAAAGGCGCCCATGTGGAATGTATGATGTAGCTGAAAGAGGAAGTTGAACGACTAGCATGATTTCCTCCGCTGCATCGTTTGTCATGCTTGAGATTCTTCAGCTCAAACTGCTCCAGTCCCACCCCCCAAGCCAACTCCAAGCCGCACCCTTACTCCGATGTAAGCCCACCCTCCCCAAAATCCACCAAACCAACCTCTCAACCCAACATTTACCACACCTGAAAAGCCCATCCCGAGCTCATCCAACCCCATCAACAACTGGCTTCAAGCCGCACAGCGGAGCACTCGCGCGCAAATGTGTCTAATCCCGGCAAAACGCTTGTCCGTTGTGCCATGTGCCCATTGTTTTGTGGACCGCCAAAAAGGCCAAGCCGCGTATTTTCTCACGGCGTGCTTTGTTTCTCTCCAGTGCGCGTTGTTGTGTTCCTACTGGCTTGACTTAACCTCACTGAAACCATATTGAAATATAAATGCACCAATTTTGGCATGTTTGAAGCTGGGGACCAAAAACGGTTGTTTGCCTTTTGGTGTCCCTTCTTATTCAAAAAACGGTACCCAAATCTCAGGGTCCCCATCTGGAGGGCGCAAAGGAAGCGATTTTGGGGCTGGCCTCGAGGAGAAACAGCCCTGGGTGGAGATGGTGAAGCTGCTGAGGTGCGCGACTCAAGTGGCGGATTCCCAAGTGAGGTCTGTGAGGCACCCCGCCTACCCGACCCGATTGGTTTTTGGTCCTCCAAAAGGTTTTGTTTTCAGAGTCGGGGCCCTCCATTGGAGGGTCCGGGTTCTTTGTAGCGGTATGAGCGTTAGGGCGCCATTTTGAGTGGAGCTCAGTTTGCTATTGTCATTTTGACTTGAACGACATCGCCCTAGCAGCTCTGAGTTTGAGGCCATCTATTTTGTCAGGTTTGACAGACCTCAAGAGCCCGTGCGACTGCCAATTGCCATAAGTAATTGCTGCACAGTTCATTCCCTAAACCTCGCAATATGGTCTCCAAATGGGGGAATCCGCAGGGTGGTTTTCTGTTGGGATTTTTTCAAGCAAGCTCAACAAGGGCACCCTCAACAAAGACACACCCCAAGTACACCAAACACATACCGGTAAAGTACTGGAAAATCCTCGTTCCCTGCTTGCCATAGTAGTTTTGCCGGAGGCTTGGCCGATTGCATGCCTCACCTAGGCAGCTGAGCGGCGAGTACAACGTCTTAGATCCCTAGTATCAGCTCTTGCGAGGGCCACACCTGTTCGCAGCCAGTGCGTTCGGATCGTTCGCAGCTGGTCAAGGCACAGGGGCCTGCGTCATTTGTGTTCCTTCCACAAAAGGCAGGCATGTGTGAGGGTTGGGTATATTTTATCTTTTGGTGATTTAAGCATCCGCCTTTGGGCCAGTTTTCAGTGAGGGTCCTCTTCAGGGGGCACTTATAAATATAGGGAGCCCTGTGAGTGGTGGTGGGGTGCGAGATTCAAAGTCCAATAAAATGTTTTTGCAGATTGAATCTTGTGCCCTAGCTAGGGGAGATTTCAGGTGACATTCTCCCCTGTGTTTGCAACCGGGTTTGAAATTCCAGGCTTGTAACATATAATCCTGTGTAGTCTGTCGGGAAATGAATTTTGATCAACTTGTCTCAAATTATGTATGCTTGCTTTTGAATATTGCTTGAAGAATGGAGGAATAACGTTGCCCCCTTCTTTAATCCCCATGCCACATGTGGATTCCATGTAATTGCTGGCTGTGACTGGGCGTTCGGCCGGCGCATTCAGCACTCTGTTGCCCCGTGGCCTGCCGCACGTGAGCGCGTGAGCGGTGAAGTCGAAAATAGATGAAAGCGGCTGTGCAGGCGTGTATGCGTGTGCGTGTGGGTGTGTGTGTGTGTGTGTTAACTGGTTCTTCTTTTGTCAAAAGAATAGCACACGCGTGTGGCGGGAGAATAGAATTGTGCAGAAGCGTGGCCCTGTGCGTGAATTGGCGTCTCCCGAGAGCTGAAAGCTAGCTTGATTGCGGCGCCTGCTCGGAGCAATCTCGGAGCAACCTCGGACGACGCTCGGACCACGTTCGGACCAGTCTCGGAGCGACGGCCCATTGACACGACAACACGGAGGCTTCGCAAGGATAGAAATGCACAGCAGGCGCAGCGCTTTCGCAAGGTGAGGTACAGACTTCGTGGCAGGCACAGCACTTTTGCAAGGTCAAGTGCAGATTTCGTGGCAGGCACAGCACTTTCGCAAGGTCGAGTACAGATTTCGTGCCAGGCGCAGCACTTTCGCAAGATGCGGTGCAGATTTCGCGGCAGGCGCAGCACTTTCGCAAGGTCAGGTACAGATTTCGTGGCAGGCGCAATACTTTCGCAAGGTCAAGTATAGATTTCCTGGCAGGCGCAGCACTTTCGCAAGGTCAAATACGGATTTCGTGGCAAGCGTAGCACTTTTGCAAGGTTACATGCAGATAGAGAGATGGATAGATTGATCGATAGCTAGATAGATAGGCAGATATAGGTAGAGAGAGAGAGAGCTAGATAGAATAGATAGAGAGATATTCAGATAGGATAGAGTATGAATTGATAGGTGGATAGATAGATACACAGATATAGGCAGAGAGACACAGGACACAGGTAGATAGATCAGGTAGATAGATCAGGTAGATAGACAAGAAGAGAGACAAAAAAGAGATAAGAGAGAGGGAGGGAGACAGATAGACACATAGATAGATAGAGAGAGAGAGAGAGAGAGAGAGGGAGAGAGATAGATAGATGGATAGATAGCAAGATAGATGGATAGACAGACAGACAGACAGACAGCCAGCAGACAGACAGACAGACAGATAGATAGATTGAGAGATAGGGAGGTAGATTGATCGATTGATAGAGAGAGGTATATAGACGAACAGCGGATTGAAATCAAAGATAGGGAGAGATAGAGAGATAGAGGGAGCAAGAAAGCCAGAAGGGAAGAAGAACCACGAAAAAAGAAAACAAGAAAGCGAGAAAGGTGGAATGAGAATAAGGAAAGAAAGAAGAAAAGAAACGAAAGGAGACAAGAAAGAGAAAGGCGCCTATAGTTGATATTTTTCGAAACTTCCGCCCACCGGCTTCGCCGGCTCTGCTGGTAGTTGTGTAGGTGTGTAGATTTGTGTGTGTGTGTACTTGTTTGTAGGTGTGTAGGTGTGCCTCTGTGTGTTGGGTCACCGACCTTGACTCGTTGGGGCCATTTTTCCAACGTCGAGAGCTCAGGCTTTGCCTAACCCAGATCAACGAAGCCGAGCGACCACCTTGAGGATGTCTCCACCTTGAGGATGTCAATCTAAAAGGGTCCACGCAAATGAGCAAGCTCTTTTGCTTGAAGTCACTGTTCATCATGGCATTTGAGAAGGACCAACAGTTGGGCTGGGAATGCCCAGAAGACCTTCAGATTGTCCCTGCTTAGACAAATAGGTGGCCCCTTCCAAAGAGTATTATAAATATAATTCCTTTTCTGGGTAAGATGGTGGCAAAAGGACAACTTTGACCCTTAAAGGCAGTGACACAGTTCAAGGACTCAGCGTAACCTAGTCAGTAACATGTTCCAAGCTGATGTGTGGGTGTGTGAACCGTGACATGGGGGGGGGTGGGGGGTGGTCAAAGATGGTCCTTTGGTACCGCGCCGTGCGGCTTTTTGAAGGGGGTTGCACTCCGCTGCCCTCAGCACATCAACCGGGTCTATATCACGCCAATGCTTCCAATTTCCCCTTTGCTAAACAGAGGAAATCGTTATGTTAAAAGTTGCAACCTGACCATAGTGGGTTGAGTTTGTCCATCTGGTACCCTTACACTTTTTGAGTTAGTAGGCACGGGTATGGACTCCTTTATATGAAAGTTGCAAACCCTTATAAGGATGTCTTGTCAGGGAACCCTGACCATGGCACACAGTCGCCCTACAGTGGCTAGTGATTTTGTCCAAAGCCCACGCAGGTGGGCTCCGGAGCTGATCCCGGCCAGTGTCCGACGGCCGCCGGAGGAGCGACAGCCACGATGAGACAGGTCTTTTTCGGGGACTGGTCCCATCCGTTGGTGAAAGTTGGATTCTAGGTTGCTGAACACTTGGATTTGAGGAACCACCTGTTGTCACCGAACAAATCCGAGGTTGTGGGGATGAGAATCCAACTTTGGTATTACAGGAAGAAATATTCTCATTACATTGGGCCGAACAAAGAGGTTTTTCCCTTGCCTATAAAGGCACCCGAACTTGTCAGAAGGTTAAAGTCAGGAGTTACACATTTTTGCGGATGGCTGACTCACGACTTTGCTTCGATCACCGGGTCTCGTAGGACCAAAGAATCACTTCCCCCATGTTGATATATTTGTTGTTGTTTTGTGGTTTTCATGAGCTTACCTGGGGTGAAACGAGCTCACTATGATGTGGGTCCTTTACTTGGCGGATCCCTTGTTTCAAGCCCCCTTGCAGGTAAATTCACACGATTAATAAATACTACATCAATGTGGGGCAAGACATTGCTCATCAAGTGGATTGCTTCATTTTTTAATTGCTGCACGGAAATATGGCGCAAAAAGTACAGACTTAGACTAGGTCAACCTGATTTACTGATTGCCATTATTGTTCCTTTAAGGCCTGAGATGGCCTTTCGAGTCGGGCCCAGGATCGCATTCGCATCCGGATCTTTGCGACGCTCAACTGCAGCGATGTGTGTCTGTGTGTGGCTGTGTCTCTGCGTGTTTCTGTGTTTGTGTGTGTGTGCGTGTGTTTCTGTGCTTGCGTGTTTGGGTTTGCATGCGCGTATGTGCCCGTGTGCGCGATACGCAAATCCACCCCGAAAGTGTTGGATTATTTTTGGAGGATATGCCAAACTGTCCTAAGGGTCAGGCAGATTGACAGCGCTGACCCCACAGCAAGCCAATACGTCCGTACAAACCCCCATGTGCAGGAGGTCGCGGCAGATTTAGCTGTACAAGACCGACTTGGCTTTTGGCTTGCATGCTGCAGGCACCATCCCATGTACTTGCAAGAAACTGTCCGGCCCTCAACAGCAGCCTACAGATGCCTCAGCTTTGCATGCTGCAAAAGCTGGGAGAGATTGAAGTGCACCACACAAGGTTCGGAGACGTTAGGACCATTTTCAAGACTGCCCAGCCGCAAGTTCAGGGCCACTCAGGATTGCTCTTTGGAGTGTAAATGTCAGAGAGGCTCAGAAAAGGCAGTAGAGGCCTTGCATCGTGGTTGCAAGACCATCAACAGCCGCTTGAGAATTGTGCGTGATTGCTCTTTACTTTGCCCGCCAACCAACTAGCAACAAGAAAAGGTGTTTATTCGGGAAAGCCGTGAATTTGTACGCTGGCTTCAACCGTATTTTCTTGAGAGCAATATTCAGCTCTTGATTTATTTATTTACGTATGATTGATGAGTTCATTTGTTCCTTGATTTACTCCCTCCTCCAAACGTCCACTTTGTTTAGGGTATCATGCCATTTGTTGATTAAGAACAAGGAGGCATTCACCACGGAAATCAACACGTTTGGACTCCGACAAAAGTAGATACTGGGCCCCGATTGTTCTGAGGTGGAGTGCTTCGAGGACCTCGCAAAGACACAGGGTGGCGAGGTGCAGTAGCAGACCGAGCGGACGGGGGGCGGCCGAGGGGGGGGGGGGATTTTACGGTCAACCGGGGGTTTCCGAACATAAGGCAGAGCTTCCAGCACTGGTTTCGCCCATGAATGGGTGGCTTTTGAGATCACCTGTATGTTTTGCCAAGGAGTTTCTCTGGAATAAGGCACATCGATTTTGGTAGGGCGATACATGAATGGGAAAGTAATGGGATTCTTGTAAAGAGAAGCTCATATGTGATTTCACAACATGGGACTTGGGGTGTATGCCTTTATGAGATTAATGCCAAACGTAACAGCTGTGGAGCCCCTTGGCTTGGTCTTGCAGGTTTGGGTACGGTTTTGGGGTGACAAATATAACCACAGCCATCCCAGAACCAAATGCGTCTTGCCCCGTTGATGTTGACCCCGAATTAGTCAGCCTGGCTTATATTTATTTCCCACAAGTGATCCGGATCCCCTAGATGCAAATGGGACATCGATGAAGCTCAACCGCCCCCTACGCCAAAAAAAACGACCCAAATTCCCTTGGTGTTCAGCAACTGTTTGACCAGAATGACTAAGAACAGGAGAAGTACAGCCAGATGATTCTTGTAGCTGCAGCCAGACGTGGCATACGGAGCTGCCAGAGCAATCTGAAGGATCCCTCGGCCGCCAGGTAGAAGGCCCGGTGGTGCTGGCCCCGAAGCTCTTCAAGATGTGCCCGGTCTCGGTAGGTGTCTGGGGGGCGACGGAGACGACAAAGTACTGTACCTCCTTGGAAGGACCCTTATATGCCGTTGAAGGGTTGCTTTGGGACCAGTTGAAAACAGTGAGCCACTTTGAAACCATTTGAGAATAGCTGCCTTCTGCTGGAATCCAGCTTTGAACGGTCATCAGGCTCACCTGGAATTGTCATATGTCATGTTCAATGAACTCGACAATTTGGATGCCTGTTTTGAGAGTCCTCACGCCTTGTGACTTCTTGAGACGTGAACCCTTTCAATTTGCTCGCGTGCAACTGCATGACCTCTTGGCTTTGCGCCAATCAAGCAGTTCTGTCAAGAGAGTTTTCAAGCACCCCACCCCCTTGTCAAAGCCAAAGCCTTCAAGCAAACGCAAACCTGGCAGCTGTACCCAGATTCTGCCCATGTTTTTTCCTTGTCCGCTCGTTTAAGCATCGCCTTTGGGGCCATTTCAAGCAGGTTTCCCTACGTTTAAAGGGAAGCATCGGGAGCGCTGTCTGGCGGAGGTACATCAACAAGAGCCCCAAAGGTCACAAGAAGTCCAAATACCACAAGGTCATCATCGAGTACCACTGGTCTGCGACTCAGTGACGTGGCCAATGGGTTTATCACACATGCGGATCTCTTCAATGTGTAAACCTGCAGTTCACGCCACGATTCTCGTAAGGTTTGTCAGTTGACGCCCACTTGTTGTTAGGTCACTTGGGCTGCCACGCAGCGGGTGCCCTCACAAAGGACATGTGGCTTGATCAAGATTCCCGGTAGTCTATATGGTCCGTTTAGGAGGGACATGTGGGAACTCACTAGATTTCCCATGAACAAAGGGACTAGCTAAATTTCCAAATTTCCCAATGTCCTCTTGGGGAAAAACATCATTTGGCCGCACTTCATATCATCAATGGTCTTCCAGTTGTTTTCACCGTCGACTCGGTGTTTTCGCGCAAGAGCACGAGGCAGCTTGACTACTACCCGCCCAAGGAAGGCGGCCTGGAGGCTGCCAGGTCCCCAACGAGGGAAGTTCGAAAAGACGCACTCTCTGAGTACCTGGACATTGTGCTTTGTGGGAAGACCGTGTCAGTGGTGAACAAGAAGCCTAGACTCTTTGTGGCCAATCCACTCAGGAAGTGAGAAGCGGCCCTGTGTTTCTGTCTTTCCCGACTTGATTCCCAACCCTTAAAGCGCATTAGACGGAGGCTCTAGGAAAATGTGCAGTGGGTGACCCGCAGAGATGGTTTGTTTTCCGCCGTTTTCCCTCGAAGCACCGTCTAAAACATGGCTCTTGCGCGGAGTCGCTGAATTGCTGTTGAAGAGGTAGACAAAACTAGCTTAGTTGGGCTGGGTTCGCACGTCCTCTCTTGTTTTTTTAGTCTTCAGGAAGGCCTTCTATTACGGAAGGCACAACCGTGACATGAACTGTTTGGGAAGCAACCTGCAAAGACTCAGAGTCTGACCTCTTAGGCTCGTGGTGTGTGTCCATTTCCCAAGTCTTCGACGTGAGTGGCCAGCCTCGGACTTAGGTCATGAAGTTGAATATTCCGTACCAGGAGACTTGGCCCGAATCGATCGCGTGGCCAGCGGGTTCAGGTTGATCGCCTTGGGAATCATGCCGCAGCGGATTTTTTTGGTGGAAAGCCGCAGAATCGGAAGCACCGCATGGCAGTCTCGCTCGGGGACATTGGGACCCCCCTCTACCCTCCAGAATTCTTAGAACCCTTCTAGGAACCGGCTCCAAGCACTCTTCCCGGGGTTCTCGCGGCCTCTTTTGTTCTATTCCCAGCGCCCTGCTGTTCGCAGAGGAGCCAGGCGTTGCCTTTTGGCCCCCGAAAAGGACCCGCAGACAGACTTTTTTGGCTGGACCGAAATTCACAAACAGTTCAACTTTTAGGGTAAGACTCAATTGAAGGCAGGAAAGCCATGGAACATCTACTGTATTTTCTAGGGTTGTAACTCGGTCAATTTTAGGGGATCCAAGATGAACCTAATAGGAAAGCCCTGATAGGTGCTGGTCTTCCTGCCTCAAGCTGGCAACTGCAAAAGAAACGATGCATGGGGAGTGGACCGTGCTCAGGTGCTTCTTTTGATCTGCAATTCAAGATATGTTCTGAAAGACTTTGCTTGAGTTGTATTTAGTTGTGCTCTCTGGTTCTGTTTGTTTTCAGGTATAAAAAAGCAGATTTTTCGCTGACATGCCAAGGGCCGGAAAGACCTGAGTGACAGGTCCTCGCATGCGTGCCTCAAACCGGAGGTGCTCCATCCGGTTTTGGACTGCTCAAGGGAAGCCAAATCTGCGAATCTGCACATTTGAGGCACTTTCACCCTTTGAGAAATGATTGGTGTCCTTCAAGTTGTTGTTTGTTTTACAAAAGAATATGTCCAGGCATAGAGGTAGTGCAACATTTGCTTGGGGGCCTCAGATTCCCTCCCTGGAAACACCAATTGTAAAGTGGGGTCCAGCTACTTTTGGGGGCGCCCCCTATTCCCATCCAAAGACGGCATGTGCGAAGAGAGAAGCCTTTCCACTTCTTTCCACAGGTTGAATGTTTTTGTTTTTTTTGTTTTTTCCTGGGGAATGTTTGTTGTCACCCTCAAAAAACACACACACCCACATGTCCTTTGGGACCGTCTCAACAACTTGGAAACCCTTTGCCATGGCTGGTTTCACGTTGGTTTCCTTTTGGCTGGTCCCAAACGGCGCCTTTAGTTTTGACGCAGGAGTAGTGATATAATAAATATTACATATATAATCCCAGTTATGCAGCAGTTATGCACTGTAGTAATAGGAAAGACTCAGATTGAACTCACCGAACGACCAACAGACCCTAAGGGTCACCTCGCAACTTCGAACGCCACCGGGAGGCACAATACACGACTGTACTCTTTTGGACCCATATCAAGTTGGCAAGCGTGTATTGATTCCCAGTATGTTTGGGTCCCCAAAAGTTCACCACGACATGGGCCTCAGGTCCACATGGACCTTCGGTGATCCGAGCACCGAGTGGAGAAGTGATTTGGACGAGCCCGCGCGAGCACGAGCCCAGCAGGAAACCTTTCAGCAATAAATGGCTCGTTGAAGGGGCTATGTCCAGCTATTTGAGAAAGTAATCCAGGCATTGAAACAATTGAAGGGCTGCTCTCTCGCTTCACATAGCTGCGCTCCCTTTGCAATCAAACCAACAGTTTCCCGAAACTTGGCCCACAGACCTGAGCTTGGAATCGTAGGGCACGGGCGCATTTCTCATGAAGCCGGCGAGTGAAAGGATGGTGCGCAGACCTATGCCTCGTTTTTTGTTCCCACTCTGGGGCGTGGGCGAGTCGAATTTGCTGGCGACCAGGCGTTTCTCGTTGCAACGGCCGTCTCTTCAAATCAATGCCAGGTGACAGTGGTTTCAATGGTTTCGCTGGCGTCCCACTACGGATTCTTATTTCAGATTAGGATTAGGGAGCCTCCCCGCAATTTGGACAACCCAGATTGGGCATGGCAAAAATCCGCGGGTGTCCTGCTCAAGCCACTATTTTCCATCAGCAAATCAGCAGTGATCAAACCTGCAGCCCAGTCAGACACGCATGCGAATCGGTATCCTTGGCAGTAGATGGTATGTGCGACTGCAGACAAGATTAGCCAAGAGCAGGTGTGGTCAATTTGCAAAGGGATCAAGCACCAACGGAACCAACAGACATGCACAGAGCGACTTGAGCTGCTCAGCTGCGCTTTCCCTCAGGGAAATAGAAGAAAACTCGAAAGGGTTTTTGCACTTGCAGGTTCTAAGCTTATGTTCCACTTGGGAATCATAGAGGGTGTCAGAAGCTACACCCCGCGTCCGTTGTGCGCAGCCATGGGACCTGTCCTTCC